CCCCCTCAACGAGGCACCTGAGCCTCCCCCTCGAGCCTCTAGACACTTGTGAAAACCCCCTTCCTGTCCCACTGGGAGTCTGGCCTCCCTTCCTAGGTGATGGACTGCAGCTCAGCCAGTGCCAGCTGCCCCCCCCCCCTTGGTCCTCCCTGCACGGGCTGCTACCCTCCCTCCATGGACCAGTCGCTGGTTCTGTAGCTCATCTCTGCTGCTGAACGTGTCCTGGGGCCAGGGGTTGCTAGGGCTCCTCGCCATGCCCCCTAGCCCCAGGTCTCGGGAGGGGGCTGTACCGTGAGGGGCCCGCAGTGGGAGCAGAGAGGGAGGGGCCGGCACTGACAGAGCAAGCGCTGCCGCACCGGTTTAAAGGGTGGCCTGTGCTGACGAAGGCTTCACGGCTGTGGGGCGGGGGGCCTGATGGGTGGTGGTAACCCTTTCTGGGGCATAAATACTTTCAGCACTGGTTTTCAAACTAGCGTCATGGGGTCACTGAGCAGGGAGCAGGGAAGAGATAAACATCCCACAGCCCAGTCCTATCTCCACCACCACACACAACAGACAGACATAGCCTCAAGGGCAGAGACAATTAGGAGACTGAGTTCTGAATATTTATCTTTGTGTTGGAGTATAGTTCAAGTGGTGCTGTGTGTAACACCTGGCTGGTCAAATCTTGAAAACTGAACAATTAGCTCCTGTGAGTAGGTACAGGCCGCTGGTTGACGGGACAGGTGTTAAGGAGTGAAATGCAAATGGGGAGTGGCCCTGGGGCGGGAGGGAGGCTGCAAAGGGAGAGGAGGTTGGGGAGCTTGGCTGGGGTCCTCCATTAGACGTTCGTGCTGAGGAGCTGTGTCCTGAGGGAAAAGGCTGTGCTGGGTCACTCCGGAGGTCCCTGTGGAGAAGGGACTGGGAGCACGGGAAGGTTGGGCATGGCCCTGGCCAGAGATGGTGGTCATATGGCAAGAACCATGGGGACAGGAAGGAGGGACAGAGTTCAGAAACCTTTGAAAGGTAGAATCAACATGTCTGGGAGTAGGTGGTGACTACCTCAGTCTCCTAATCTGTGAAATGGGTGTAACACCCCCTTCCTGGGATTGTATACACTGGGGAGGACAGAAGTCCGGCACCTGTTAGTGACACACGAGGGGTGTGGGTGAGAGCGGGAGGACACTGACTGTACAGCAATGCTCCATCAGCATTTCCCCGTGAGCCATCAGTCTACCCCCTTTAGGTTCAAAGAACGTGTCCTGCAGACCCCAAATGACCTTCTGGCTGCTGGTTTTGAGGAGCACAAGTTCCGAAACTTCTTTAATGCTGTAAGTTAACCTGGGCAGGACAGCTGAGGGTCCAGGTCCCTCCATGCTGGCAGAGTGGGCAGGAATGGGCACTGGCTGGAGCCCCCGCACAGCCCATGGCTCTGCAGTTATGTCCTTGCCCCTCCCAGCTGGGGAAGGACAGTGGCTTCCTGTGTGTGGGGACAAGGAGCCCAGGGCCCTGCCCTCCCACAGGGAAGAGGCACCTCCTTTGGGGCAGTAGCTCTCAGGCCGGAAACATCCCCCAGCCTCCTTCAGATGTCCCCTCTCCACCCTACAACCCTGATCCCCTTAGTGAAGGGGGCGTGGGGTTGGGGGATTCAGTTCTGAATCTATAAATAAGAATCCCAATAACCACAGTGATGGGAGGAGATCCAACTGCCGTTCCCTAGACAGGACTCTGGGCTAAGGTACACATTGCAGAGCATTTCTAACCCTCTACTTAGCTTGGTCCCAGATTGACTTATTTTGGTAACTCAATTTGAGGATTTCAAAATGGAAATACACATGGAAGGGGAGGATCCTGTGAAAAGAGTCCCATGGGGGAGGGTAGGTCTTGCCTGTGCCTCCCAACTAACAGCCCGGCGGGGTGCAGTTTTACAGTGTGGTAGAGCTGGTCGAGAAGGACGGGTCAGTGTCCAGCCTGCTGAAGGTGTTCAACGACCAGAGCGCCTCGGACCAAATCGTGCAGTTTTTGCGCCTGCTCACCTCAGCCTTCATCAAGAACCGCGCGGAATTCTTCCGACACTTCATTGATGAGGAGATGGACATCAAGGACTTCTGTACTCATGTAGGTCCTCAGGGTCTCAAGCTTTGGGGACTTAGCCCCCAGCCCTGGGACCTGCTGTGTAATACCCAGCTCCTGGGATTGTACACACTGGGGAGGACAGGGCACTCAGCATGTGGGCCATGGGGAAGTGTCGTGAAAGCCCCTCTCCCCTCGGGAGACTTGAGTGCCATCATCCCTAGCCAGGGGACTTGATGTCACACCTGCATTTGTAATTTGAAGAACAAGATTAGCAAGCCAGAAACAGATCCTACTTGAGCTGCCTCCTGAACATGTGGCTCTGGGCAAGTACTTCCTCCATCCAGGCCTCTGATTTCCCATCTGAGAAATGAGGGCCTTGGACTAGACTGTTTACAAAATTGCAGAGTAGCAGCCCCAGAGTCACATTTGTCCTTAGATGTGTTTTGTTTTATGATGTATGGTATTTATCTGAAACGGAGCTGCCAACATTTAAACCCTGGGCAGCTTTCTTGACTCTCTGGATTTCTCTCGGAAGATCCAGTTCCCAGGACCTTATTCCTGCATGGCTACAATCAGCAGGAGCAGAGTGGTGGCCACCCTGGTTATGTGGGACATACTTGCCAGCCTACCACCATCTCTGCCTCTCTCGGTTGCCTCTTCAGCATTTGGACTCACTCACTCGCCTAGCCCTATGTGAAATCCCTTCATGACGGTCCTCATCTGCTCTGAGGTTCTTTGGTTCTGTGCATTAACAAGCTCAAGCTCTAAAATTCTGCCCACCCCCGCCCTGATTCTTGAAAGTAGTGTTCTCACATACCACTAGAGTCTGGAATCAGAAAGATCTAGATTCAAGCCTTGCAGTTCTAGTGGGTTTCTGGCTGCTCTTCCTCACGGGGCTTCAGTTTCCTCCTCTAGAAACCGGGATGGCAGTACCTACCTGATGAGCTATTGTGAAGATTATTTCCCAGCATAGATGCTTTGACCCAGGGCCATGAAAGCCAGGGCTGGACTTCATTTGTCTTCTGCCAGGCTTCCTTCCTAAACTGGGTTTGTTTTTTCATTCTGGCCTTTGCAGGAAGTGGAGCCCATGGCCATGGAGTGTGACCACATCCAGATCACAGCCCTGTCTCAGGCACTGAACATCGCCCTGCAGGTGGAGTATGTGGATGAGATGGACATGGCCCTGAACCACCACGTGTTCCCCGAGGCTGCCACCCCTTCCGTTTACCTGCTCTATAAAACATCCCACTACAACATCCTTTATGCAGCCGATAAACGCTGATTAATTTTAGGCCATGCAGTGGAGCCTGTCACCTAAAGGGACTGCATTTTAAATGGAACATTCCGGCTTTTCAATTTTTTAAGCAACTTAAACTATAATTAGAAAATGTACAGTCTTTTGGGCAAAGTCCCTGGGAAGGAGGCCTACCCATTATGGACTGTGGTAACTTAGTGATATTGTTAGTATTTATTTTCATGGAGGATCAAATGCTTTCTAACTCAGGGCTACAAAGCCAGAACCCCTGAGACCCTGGGCAGGTCACCTCCCCTCTCTGGGCCCGTTTCTTCATCTAGAGAAGGTTCCTGCCAGTGCTGACATTCTGTTGTCATATAAAAAATAGGGCCCTCTGGTTTCCTTTCTGTGCCTCTGTGCTGGGGAGGAAAAGCTCAAGGTCAGAGGTCTTCAGTGACTTCCCAGTTCTACAAAAAAAGAATCCAGTCCAATTAGCTGTTAGACTGGACTTTGGTAGATGGCTGACGGAAGCATTGGCCAACTGGCCAATGTGAGGCCTTCAGCGTGGTTCCAAACATTCACCATGGGAGTGTTTTCTTACCCTAACCTGAGGAGGAAAAAGAGACTTTTATGCCGAAGTCTAAAAAGAGGCCTTCAGGATGAAGCTCGGGTTGTTGTGGCCCTCTCGCCCTCTCTCCCTCTCTCAGGGCCAGACGTGCTTGCCTTTGGGCAGGCGCTTCAGGATTCTGCTGCTAGCCCCACCTGAACAGAGGCTCAAGGAAGGCTGGGGTCTGGGACCAGGAAGCTGTCTCACCACCCCCAACACAGCCTGGAATGAGAATCTAGGTAATCCTCCAGGTGGAGACAGCAGTACGTGCAGCCACAGACTCCAGCTGCGCAGGGCAGACAAGTTTTGCAAGGCGGTGTGTGGCTGCTTTCCCTTTTTCCCCTTCTGCTTGGTTTTGTGGGCTGGCAGGAAGTTAGGTGGGAGAGAGCAGAGACAAGCCCAGGAAACTGGCAGTGAGGGAGATCTCTGTTGCGAAAACTGCCTAGAAGCCAAGAGCCCTGGCTGGCAGCCTCCTCATTCACCCACCTGGACATGCCCCTTAATAACCTTGTCACCTTGCTGTCCCCAGGACCTTGAAGAGCCTTGGTTGATCTCGGGTACCGCTAGCAAGCTCTCTTCCTCTGTGGGAGGAAATGGAGACCGCAGAAGTGTGGAACTGCCCATGGGTGACTTCCCTAACCCAAGGCGTTTTCTCACAGGTTCCATTCTGCGGGGATTTATGCGTGTCAGCTGCCAGCCAGGCTGTGCACAGGGACTGGGCAGCAGATTGCTGAGGCCTTGTATACAAACAGCAGATTTATATCATTCTTCTGCCTTTGTGAAGACAGATGTTAGGGTGCTTTAATGCCAGGCAGGGACCCAGGTTCCCCTACTGCCTCAGCTCGGGCTTAAACCCAAGGGCTCATGCGAAGTGATCATGTCACTTTTCCACAGGACTGTAAACCTGACCTTGATCTCTGAACTGGTGATGTCCCACCCTGCTCTGGGTAGGAGTGCTAGGATCTGTGACAAATATACTGGAAGAACAGGGGAAATGTTATGTGACTTGTGACTATCTCAAACCAAAGGGTATGAACACAGCACTGGGCTGAATGCCCGTGGCCGCTCCGAGGGGTTGCGGGACGGCCTGCGCCTCCAGCTGGGCTCTCACGGACGGCATAAGCGGCAGCTGCCACTTCTTGGCATGTCCACAAAAGCAGAGGTTTCGCTTTGGCAGCCTGGCTGGAGAAATTCCCTCTCAGACTTCCTATGCTGTGCTTCCAGGTCTGAGAGCCCACCAGTGCTCGTATGGGACCCTCTTCCGAGGACAGATCCTATCAGTTTAGAATCAGAATGCCACAGACAGGCAAATTCTTCTCATGTTCTTACAATGTGCTTCCCCTTTCCTCCACAAAACCACCGGTCCATAGTCCATGCTCTCTGCCTTCTCATCTGCCCCCAGATGGTCTGAGAGCAAGCACCAATGCCGAAAAGGGAGTGGCAGAATTCAGGAACTTGTTTAAATCCAGCCATCTGGGGAGGTTAACTTTGCTTGTCTACGGCAGCCAGTAATGCTGGCATTCACACTTCCTGGATAATTCTCCACCCACCTCACCAAGGCATCTCTGCCCAGACCAAAAGGGGGCAGGAGAGTTGCTTTGAGAGTCTGTCTTTATAACTGCACATTTATTATTTTCCTTCCAAAGGGAACTTTATAAATGGGAATGTTTAGCAACAAAAAGAACTGTCCTTGCTTTTGACTGGGCTCCTATTTTAAGCACAAAGGGGTTCTGGAGCCAGACCCGCCTGGGTTTGAATCCTCCCTTTTCACTTACTAGCTCTTGGCCAAGAACTTCACCTCTGAGCCCTAATTCCCGTATCAGTGAAATGAAGACAACACCTACGCAGCACAGGGTCACTGGTTAATGTGGAACAAGATTATGTAGGAGATCTGACACCCAGTGCTCTACAAGCAGGGAAGCAGCAGAACACTTGCTGCAATGTGGGCAAATACCTCTTTGGCAGGGACTCTGGCTTCCCAAACGGGGAAGTGTCAGGAGCCATTAGACAAGTCTAAGAACCATTCTCACACTGTGCAAAATGGGGGCAGGAGCTGTGGCTCAGTGAGCAGCTGCCCAGGGTTGGGGGGGGGGGCGGCCCCACAGCTTCTCCCGGCAGTTGGTGGAAACATTTTCCTAGCATTAAAATGGTTTCCATGACAACTTTTATCCTGGTTTCTTAGTATTTGGTATCTGACATGCACTGAAGATCAGCACTCTCCCATAGGGCTTATGTGTGTGAGTGGATTAGCAGGAGAGAGCGGGTTCTCCTTTAGTGGAAGGTCTATATACTCAGCAAGTTCTACCCTTGGGCTGGAGGTGCCAAAGAAACTACAGGATTTACAAAGCTTTACGTCATCAAGTCAAAGAACAGAACTGCCTGGGATGCTAACCTTATCTTTTAAAACCGACTCCCCTTAACACACTATCCCGCAAAAAAAAAAAAAAAAAGCATTTGCTGTTAAGGGACAAGGGCAGCATGTCAACAGTCATCGGTGGGTCTGTTTGACCTGTGACCAGTAGCCTCAGGCCTCTCATGACTCAGGGGCCGCTAAGTCTCCTTAGGGCTGCTCAAACCACCACTGTATCATCTGGATAATGGTGAGTCCCCTGCCATCCTCCACCAACTGTCACCCAAGAACTGATCTCACAGACTAGGATTGTTTTCTACTGCATTCTCCTCTCTGAGTCACTGGTGACCCTGGGGAGACATTCTTTAACAACACTGCTGTCCTTTTAAGACTGAAGCAGTTTTCTGTACATGCCCACAAGGAAATATCCACGGTTTTAATCCCAGGTCTGCCATTTGGCCGCTCTGTGATCTGAGCAAGTTTAAACCACTCAGTGTCACCTTCTCAACTACAAAAAGGTATTAGGACTTGTATCTCAGATGCTTGTTAGACACCAAATGATAGGGACGCCTGGGTGGCTCAGTTGGCTAAGTATCTGCCTTTGGCTCAGGTCGTAATCTCAGGGTCCTGGGATTGAGTCCATCGGGCTCCCTGCTCTGCAGGGAGCCTGCTTCTCCCTCTGCCTGCCCCTCCCTCTACTTGTACTCGCTAACAAATAAAATCTTAAAAAAAAAAGCCAAATGATAAAGTAGACGAAAGTGCCTAACAGTGCTTGGTACTTGATCAGCACTCAAGGATACCTGACTCTGAGTTCAGTCCAGCTCTCCTACTGTAGTTACCCAGAGGGGCTGAGGGAACACTCCTGCCATCCTGCCAACCTGTCAACCATGAAGCCGAGGGGACATGTGTTTAGAAGTCCAGACTTAGCTGTGAAGAAATCTATGCTTCTCTGGCAATTGTGGCTCCTCACCTAGACTAACCTAGAGAAAGCTGGGGGGGGGTGCCCACACACACACTAAGAAGTCACTGGTTCCCTCAGCACGTATTAACATCATGCCCTGACCTAAGCCCAAGGGCTGCAAGGCATAATAAAGCAGCCTATGCTGTCAAGGAGCTTAACAGAGACAATACAGTGTGCCAAGTGCTACTGAGAGGATAAGCACGGCTGCTATGGACACTATGCCCTCCTGGGGGCTCAGGGACCTAGAGAACACGTAGCCGTGCTCGAGGATAGGGAAAAAGGCAAGCAGGCGGAGGGAAAAGCTTGTATAAAGGCTCAGGACAAGAGAAAGGGCGCGTGGGACTGTGGGCAACAACCACTTCCAGACAGAGGAGGGAAGGGGAGACAAGGCTGGAATGCCTCACAATGCCAGACTCTGCGTACCTGTTCTGGCTTCCCCACAAATGGCTGTCATGTTAAAGAAGCCTGTGTTCTCTTGGAACCCAAGGACGGCAACCTCTTCCCTGCCCGTCTTGCAGTGTGGCTCAGACAAGAGAATGTGAATGGTAGAGAGCTAAAGAGCTATTAGGGTTCTGCTGTGGAGAAAAGCAGGAACACAAGCTAAGCCTACTGCTCCATCCACACTATCCAATGGGATGAGACACACCCCACATGCATCCTGCAACCAGAGGATTAGGACAGCTATATTCCGGCTAAAAACTCAGGATAACATGCTGGTTCTGACTACTTTTAATTGACGAAAACAAGCTAAACATATAAGAAGCCTATACACACTGGAATACAGAAATATATAAGCTGCTGCATAGAATTCTTACTCCAAAACAACACAAATGTGCATGAGGTCTCTCTTGCGACGGGGGCTGGCATGGAAGAGGGAGATTTTTATAACCGGGTTGACAGTGGAGTGAAAGGGAAAGTGGGAAGCTTTTCCACATAACCAGAGAACACAGAAACACTGTGCAGTCACTAACAGACTGACCTGGAGCTCAGTTAATTTGCACTTGTACTTGGCTGCGGTTGTTTCTGCTGCTTCCCTTTTGGCGGCTTCTTCTGCTGCTTCTTCTGTTTGGTGAGGCAGCTCAAGGCAGACTCACCGTTTCTTGGGGTAGACATGAGCGTGGGCAGCTTGCCAGACTGAGTTGGATACTTCGTTTTCAGGTCCTCTTTGAACAACGGCTGGGAGAGTAAATGGCGCAGCTCCTTCTTCAGGACCTTCATCTGTTTTTGTCTCCTACGCTCTTCTTGCTGGTCAGTTTTTCTTCCTTAAGAGACAATATAAAACAGACCATATTCACCATGATTTGTAGACACTTTCTGTTTCCCTTGATGGATACTTGTGACAAAAAATGTTTTGGTACTCTTGAGGAATCAAGGCTCCAAAGTCTCTATAGAAGCTAGTATTGGCTAACTTCTAACATAGTTGGGGAGGGATACTCAGGCATTATGTCCTTCATTCCTCAAAAAAAAAAAAAAAAAAAAGCCTCTAAGACAGGAATTACCTCCATTTTACTCGAGGGCACTTGTTGAAGGTCACAGAGCTAGCTAGCTAGTTGTCAAACAGATTTGAACCCAAGGTTCCTGACTTGAAGATCAGTTTCTTCCTACGACCCACCCACTTGCTACTTGCTAGCTGGGGTATGGTGAGTCAACAGGTACAAAGACCCAGGAGACTGTGAACACCATCTGGCAGCCCAGCTCTTCTAAACCTCCCCACCAGCACTGTGGCTACACCTTTGGAGGTGGGCACAGCCAAAGGGCCCCACACCAGCCCCAAGTCTGAGCTATCAGGAACAGCTCATTGTCACCAAGCCCACTGGTTTGGTTCCCAGCTTCCATGTTGAGCAGACAGCTTGTCAGCCTCTGAATTTGTTGGCTTTGGCACTGAGATGCCAACACCTCAGCTAGGCTGCCCACTTTGGGATGGAAAGAACACCGGATCAACTCTGGTGTCATCGGTTCTAGATTTGGTTCTACCACTTCTTAAGACTCAAGAGCCTTCCTAGAGCAGGGGCCACACAGATCCAGGTTCAGAGTAGGGGCTCAGGAAAGGCCTGGTAATGGACCTATTTCCCTGCACAAACAGCTTCTCTTCCATGAGCCTCTAATTTCCGTATGTAAAAGGATGATAATTCCTGCTCTGTTTATGGGGCTCCTGGATGGCTCAGTTGGTTAAGCGTCTGCCTTCGGCTCAGGTCATGATCCCAGGGTCCTGGGATCGAGCCCCACATCGGGCTCCCTGCTCGGCGGGAAGCCTGCTTCTCCCTCTCCCACTCCCCCTGCTTGTGTTCCCTCTCTCGCTGTGTCTCTGTCAAATAAATAAATAAAATCTTAAAAAAAAAAATTCCTGCTGTTTGTCATGTGACCATGGAAGTTAGATGAGATAATGACTGGTGTAGTAGTAACAATAATCATAAATAATAACTTTAAATATATGAAATCCTTTCTATTTGCCAGGCACTGATAAAGGCACTTTATATTCATCAATTCAACCCATCTTTTGCAATAACCCCATGAGGTAGGAACATTATGACCTGCATCTTATAAATGATGACAGCCTAGTACAAAAGAGAAATTAAAGACCTTGACCTGGTCATACAGCCAGCTAAGGGAATGGACCAGCATGGCCCCTGGCTGCAAAGCCTACCCCTGATGTCACATGAGGGAGGCAGCCGAGACAAATAAGACAGAGGGAACAAAGGCCAAGGACTGTAGGCTCATGTGGGACTAAGGCCTTTCACAAAGAAGGAAATCTTTGCTGATTTTAACAGGACCCATGGTAGTGGCGAAGTTCCAACAAGACAAAAGTTGAAGGAAAAAACAAATGAAAAATGCTGAATGTATTCTTCAAGTCCCATCCAGTCCACTCACCCTTATACATCTCTTCTTCCAGCTCAATCTCAAGGGCAGCTGCTGCCTGTTCAATCCAGGAGTTGTGCAGACAAGCCTGGAAGTTCCGATACTCCGCTTTCTCAATCTGTCGAGCTAAATGGATTCGTTCCTGGGGGAAAGGAATAGTGTTCATTTGACAGCATTCAGACCTCTGGGAAGCAAAGGCTCATATAAGTTGTGTCTTTAAAAAAAGCTCTTGAGGGGTGTCTGGGTGGCTCAGTCACTGCATGTCTGCCTTCAGCTCAGATCATGATCCCAGGGTCCTGGGATCGAATCCCTCATTGGGCTCCCTGCTCAGCGGGTAGCCTGCTTCTCCCTCTCCCACTCCCCCTGCTTGTGTTCCCTCTCTGGCTGCCTCTCTCTGTCAAATAAATATATAAAATCTTAAAAATAAATAAATAAAATAAAATAAAACCCCAAAGATAGAATTACTGGCATGTGCTTCAGGAATGTGAAAAAGGTTTAGTATCTGCCTCAGCAAGACAAGTTGACCTCACTTCCCTACAACCACTGGATGTCCAGGAAGCCACACTCACTGTCCTTGTCCAGTGGAGGAAGAAAGTGGTAGTGAAGGCTCCAGGGGCAGGCAGTGAAGAAAGGGCTCAAGAAGAAAATTCCTGTTTTTGACGACTCACCGTTTTACCTTCTACCACGTACAGTGCCCCCACATTCCTTTTTTTTTTCTTTTTTTTTTAAACGACTCTTCCTATTTAAATAGCTATTGGCAGAACCAGAGCCTCACAGCAAGGTGAAGGTGCAGCACAATCCCTTCCCTCATTAGTACTAGATTTTTAACTTTTCTTTTTACCTTGACTGCGTCCATGTACTTTGTCTGCACAGGAAACAGTGGAATGTCCTCATCTTTCTTGAGGGTTTTGTAAATCTTCTTAAAGTTGATCACATCCTCAGGCCCAATCAGCATCAGGCTGAGACCGTCATTAGTGGCACGAGCCGTTCGACCACTTCGGTGGACATAGATCTCCGAGGTGCGAGGGACCTGCCAGAGGAACCAAGAAGTCAACGCGTGGTTATCACCCAACAGTGTTCTTCCCCTCAGGGCCAGCTTCCCCGAGCCAGGCAGTTAGAAACCTCTCCAGCACTGTGGACAGATCCAGCCCTTTTCCCTTAGTCCTAATTCTTCAGCCCATTCACTGTGCAGCGTCTGCCCTCCCATGCCCTCTGCCCTGGTTTCAGGCCCTCATGACCACTCAACAGAACGACAGTCACTTATTTCGTCTCTAGTCTCTCCCACTCCCCTTGACCCAGCCCAAAGCTGCCATTGCAATCTTCCTGAGTCAAAGCTCTGACCATAATTCCCACTCTAACTAAAGAAACTCCACTGATTCTTCATTAACTCTATATAAATGACTGAACATGATAATTATAACCAACACTTACTGAGTGATTACAACGGGCCAGGCAATTCCAAGCACTCTGCATGTAGTATCCCACTTATTCCTCACAAACTGTAACATGAAGTGCTTTCATGATTACCCATATTATAGACAAGGAAACTGACACACAGAAATGTTAAGCAATTCCCTCTAGGTGGAGGAACTAAATAGTGGAGCCAAGATTCGAACTGAAGCAGTCAAGCTGCAAAGACCACACTAACCCCCGCTAGGCTCCATTGCTTCCACTCTAATACATACTGGATATATTATCCATAGGTGTGGCATGGGTGCTAACAATCCCTCCCTCCCCTGCACCCATGGCACTCACCACTAATCCAGAACAGTCTTCTCCACTGAGCCCAGGTTAACACTACCACTTCCAATGCAGCTCTAAGTACTTAACTGTTCATAATGGTGCTAGAAATGTGGTTTATTGGCCATTTTTCACTTTCTTCTCCCAACATAACCCCCCACTCGTAGCCAACTTCCCACTTCCATACATTCTCTCCTCCTTCCCTTCCACCTCTACATGCCCAGATCCTCCCCCCCATCCTTAAATGCAAAGCATCTTTTAAAAGAAAGCCCTTTCCTACCTCCCAAACTAGAAGTTACCACTCTCTCCCATTATATTTTGCAACTTTCTAATATCTTCTGCCTTAAATTATGGCTGTTGGTCTCATCTCCTTTAGTTGGTCTGATACTTCTCAGGGGCTAGGACTACATTTTGTTCATCTGGATCTCTCCCACAAAGACTGGCCTAGCCTCTTCCCCAAAAAGAGGAAGAAGAAAGATTTGCTAAACTGAACTGGCACCCTGAAAGATTTTTTTAAAGATTTATTTATTTGAGAGACAGAAAGAGAGAGTGCACGTGGGGGTTGGGGCAGAAGGAGAGAATCCTCAAGCAAACTCCCCACTGAGCTCAGGCCCCACACTGGGCTTGATCTCATGACCCACAAGATCATGACCTGAGCTGAAACCAAGAGCTGGACGCTCAACCGACTGAGCCACCCAGGCGCCCCTACACCCTGAAAGATTTTTTAAAGCATAAGGGATTAGAAAGGAGAAATAACAACACCAGAATAGCTACCACTTTATACTTAATGCTATGCTGTGTTAGGGGTTTCATCAGCAGGAGCTCATTTAATTCTCATGGTAACCCTAAGGGTTAGGCAGCATCATCACTCCCAGTTTACAATGACACAGAAACCAGAGATGTTAAGTAACATGCCCAAAGCTAACCAACTATGAAGCAGACCACAAGCATCTGAACCCTGCCAGGGTGGCTCTGAAGCCTAAGCTCCTAACCACCACTCTATGCTAGGATTTACCAGGTGTGTGCACTAATGTTAATGTCAGTATCAACAGCAGCTCACATTTAGTAAGTGCTCAGGATATGCCCTGTGTCTTTCTAAATTCTTCACACATAAGAACTTATTTTACCTTAATAAAAACTTGAAGAAGTAGATACTGTGCTAACTTCCATCTAACAAAAACACTGAGGCAGAAAGAGATTAAACAGCTTGCTCAAGGTTACACAGCTGGGATTTAAGCCCAGGCAGGTCCTAACCACCACACTCTTCTACTTCTCTACACCAGGGTAACCAGTTTACATGCTACTATGCCTATTTCGTGGAAGAAAATAGGACTCTAACCTGCCAACATCAATGAGTTTGCCCAAATCAAAGAGGGAAGGGCTAAGCGGTATCAGAAGTGCCAATAGGTTTTCTGCGAATAAATCTCATGAGTGTTCCAAACATGGCAGCAGCTAGTCAGTCACTAGATGCCAGTGGTACTCTGCTGCATGAGGCCTTGGGACTAATAATTCTTCTCCCTCTCTTTCCTCCCTCCCCAAACCTTTGCTGAAAAAAGTCCCCATTCGATGCAACAAATTCCCTAATTCCCCTACCTGGTAATGGATGACATGTTGGACTTTGGGAACATCCAGGCCCCGCGCCGCCACATCAGTTGCCAGGAGAACACAGCTGCGGGAGAGAGACAGACAAGCCCGTCAAGAACAACCAACCTACAGCTGTCCGTGAGCAGCTCCTTGCTGCCTGCTGAGTGCGCTCGGAGAGATTAACTTCCCAAGGCACCGACATGGCTCTTCACTTGTGGAACTGGGATCCAAAGGTGGGTCTCACTGACCACAGACAACAAGCCACACTCTGCAATCATAAAAGACCACCTCCAGTAAAATAAATGAGGCCATATTCTAGGTCAGTGACCCCATCATCTATCACCCTCCCACTCACTTCCCTCTGGTCCCACAGACATCCTAGATTTCTTTCCAATTTGCCAAACATGGTCTGGCCTCCAAGCCTCTGCACTTGCTACACCACAGGCCTTACAAAGTCTTCCTCAGACATTCAGGTTTCCTTGCTTTGCCCACACTCTGCTGTAACCCCTCCCTCTCAGGGAAACCTCCCTGACCCCACTTTAGTACAACCCCCTGCACAACTTTACTCCTCAGCACTCAGCACCACTTGACAAACTACATAATTGCTTTTCAATTTATGATCTCCCTCCACTGGAATGTAAACCCTGTAACAAGGGCTTTGTGTTACTCAGTGTTCTATTACCTAGAATAGTGCCTGGCTCCCAGGAAGCACTCAGTAATTTCATTGGGTAATGTTTCTTAATGTATGTGTAGTTCAAGGAAAGTCAAAAACACCTGATCTATGTCTTAAAAGCTTAAGATTCTGGGCTCTTCAGAATCCCTGCTCCCTGTAGTTCTGAGGTAGGGCTGGGGAATATGATACAAATTCAACCACTGCTTTAAGTCAAAGGCAGTAACTTTTTCTATAAAAGGCCAGACCATAAATTATTTTGGGCTTTGCAGGTGATAGTGTCTGTTGAAACTACTCAACTCTGCTACTGCCAAAGTAGCCACAGACAATACATAAATGGGCCTTGCTGCCTTCCAATAAAACTAGTTGATTTAAGCCCATGGGCCACCGTTTCCCAATCCCTGATTGAATAAGATGTAGAGGCCACTTTTAGGCAAACAGACTTGAGGAATGTAGAAAGAAAGGACGCACAGCTACCATCTGGCCGAATACAGACAGGCCCATCAGGCCACCCACCTCAAAATACCCATAGGCCCTAACTGACCAATAGGCTACTTACAACTAGGCACAGTTACCAAAAAAGGCAGAATTCCATACATGGCCATACCTCCTCATCTTCCCCCTTTAAAAACAGCCCCATCCACTGCCTCATTGCAGACAGCCTCTCCTCTGCTGTCCTGCTTGCCCACTCCCTTGTGGCTCCTTTGTTCTGCCTCAGGTGAATTCTTTCAATGACAGCGCCTTGGCTTCCACCCGATTGTTGCCCCACATTTAGGGGACCCCATCCAATCAGACAGACACCCCACTCAGACACCATATAAACTGCTAACTTCTACCTAGCAATATTCAAAAGGAGGTAAACCAGACACTTGTTCTAGAAACTAATCACTCTGTAACCTGACAAAACACTGGGCAAAAGTCAATCTAGACTTGACCTCAACTTCTCAGGCCCATAACCTGACAATATGCATACTGCTGCCTGAGCATCAGTCTGGCCCAAAAAGAGATGCACAGTGACAGCATGGTAAGCATGACTTCTGGGTCTGACCGGTTTGTCTGAGGCCCAGCTTTGTCACTTTCAGGATGAGAAACCTTGGGCAAGCTGATTAGCTTCTCCAGATCTTACTTTTATCAATCTATAAAATGAGAATAATGACAATAAATGAAAAGCTGTATTAAAACTAACATTTAGCAAGTACATACCACAGGCTAAGCATTTGTTCTAAATGCTTTATACGTATAAATTCCCTTAATCTTCCTAACAACCCTCTCCATTAGCTTCTATTATTCTACTATTATGCTAATTACGAGAAAACTGCAACACACTGAAGTAATTTGGCCAGCTAGAAGTGGCACAGCCAAGGTCTTAATCTCAAGCAGTCTGGTTCCAGTCTGTGTTCTTAACCATGAATCCATTCTGCTGCTTCTCAAGGATGTTAGAATTGAATGAATGTAATAATGTATCTAAAATGCCAACATGATACTTACTCTATTGTTAAGTGTTCCACAACAATAGGTATTATTATCACCGTTACTCATTATCAAGAAAGTTTCTGTTGGGCATTATCAGCAACCAAATGCATCAGATGAGAGTAAGCCTGCTTCATGATATGCAAAAAAGGGCTACCTTCTACCTATAAGGCTTCCATGTCAGAAGGTAGCTTCCCACCATCTCCCCACCATCCTGGCAACCTTGACCTAATGACTAGAACCTGGGCTCTGGGTACAGGCCTGACTTACTCTTCCAGACGGGCAAACTGCTCCAGGTTTCTGAGCCTCTGCTTCTGGTGCATGCAGGCATGTAGGGTCAGTGGCATGATATCCAGGACTTTGAGGAGCCCAGAGAGGCGTTTGATGCAGGAGATACTGTTGGCAAACACTAAGGTGCGGCCTGGATACTGCATTAGGAAGTAATACAGATATAAGTCTTTCTCATCAGTCTCACAATGAATCTTGGTCTCTGTCAGTGTCTCCACTGTGGCCTCATTTCTGGTCAGGTCAATGACCTTGGGCTTGCCCCTCATGCCAATCTTCTGCACGAGGAGGTCAATTTTGGCAGTTTTGTCAATTTTCTTAGTGTGCTTCTTGTGAAGGATTCGAGCAGGAGCTTGATGTACCAGGGTCAGTGTCGCAGAAAAAATAAGCGTCTGTCTCTTTGGATTGTACTGGGAGTCACTGAGCATCTCTAGCAGCTGTGAGAGCTCAGCAAAGTGGCCTTTCTCAACCATCCGATCAGCCTCATCGACCACCAGGCACCTGCAGATACAGAGAGACCCACATAACCTGAGGAGTCATTTATACAGCACACTCAACTACCATCTCCACCCTCAACACAGACATACATACACACCACCACCACCAGGGACTCAATCCCCTCATGCATGGTTTTCTAAAGGCCAAAGTCTGACTGGTACCACACCATGGCACTTAGTGATAGGGAGAAGATAATACATACACTACACCATGCTCTCTCAGGCCCACGACAGAAAAGGGCGTGAAAGGGAAAGGGGAGGTATGTCACTTACCTGAGCTGCCTAAGGTTGCTCAAATGAGGGTGCTTTTCTTTAATTAGCTCCCACAGCCGGCCCGGAGTGGCGACCACAATCTGTGGCTGGCGGTTTAGCATCCTCTGCTGTTTCTGCGCAGACATTCCACCAACCAAAATAGCAGTTTTAATTCCTACAGTACACAAAATATAAAAGACCCTGTTATTCAGTTGGCTGCATATTTTCTGCCACGAATGACACAGGTGCCCCCAGATCAGCAGAGGAAATCAATCACCAGGACAGCTCCCCTCTCTTTTTTGGGGGGGGGGGCACTAAAAGAGTGGGCCTGGCCTGACTCTTAGTGCCACTCCTAGAAGGCACATTAAGTCTTCTATGATCTGGGCCTTGTCTACTTCCCCAACCTCATTTCTTTCTACTCCCTTCCCTTTATCAACAACAGAAGAGCTGGATTTGAACCCAGGCATGTTTACATCCAAAGTTCCAGGAAAAGTGAGCAGTAGTGCACAATGCTGGGAAGGAGGTCACTCTGCAGCTGTGACACACTTCCCAAGAAAGCCCTGCCCATCCCCCTCAATTAGAATTAATGCCTCTAATGCCTACTGTCTGTTCTGTTCTCTGGTGGAGGACTTCTCAAGGTATCCAATGTGGAAAGAAAATACAGGATCATGTAGGCAAAGTGCTTAGCAAAGTGCCCGGCACACAGTAGGAGCTTGGTTAACTGTTGCTTTTATTATAAAGTTAAAATTCTCACTGCGCAGCCCTTCCCGAAAGGAATTCCCTGAGAGAGTAAGTTCTTGTGCCCTAAGGCAGAGGTTGGCAAACATTTTCTTAAAGGGTCAATAGTAAGCATTTTGGCCTCGTGAGCTAAATCCGTCACAACTACTAACTTTACTTCATTCTACCTTAGTAGTCCAAAAGCAGCCATAGACACTATGTAAACAAATGGGTGTGGCTGCACTTTATTTACAAAAAGAGGTACTTTTGACAACCCCTGCCTTAAGCATCCACCATATCCAATAAATTAACTAATTTCCTATGCATCTAGAGTGGCATTAGCTATGCGTTATCCTTGGGAGAATTGAGACAGTGTCACTCAAACAATTTTCTGTAAGGCTTAATTCTCTGGCAGGTTGAGAGAGATTTCCCCTAAAGGGTAGGAGCTATAGCTTGTTCACCTTTGCCACCCCAGCATCTAGGATCCTCTCAGGAAGTATTTATTAAACCTCACCTGTAAACTTGGCCACAGCATCAATGTGTTGCTTGACCTGGACAGCGAGCTCCCTAGTGGGAGTCAGAACCAGCCCAAGCAGAGGGCGCTTTGGATGTGCTTTACAGATGGCGATTTTGCCACCCAACTCTTGCTTCAACCTTCCAGTCTCCTCTTCATCAAGCGTTTCCTCTTTGTCTTCATCCTGTTTGGGGATGGCCTTCTCCCTGATCAGAGAAGAAGGTCCTTCACCAGCATCATCATCACAGAAGGGCAGCACCTGGTCTGAGACAGCAGCTCCAGTCTTGACCTTGCTGGGTGGTGCTCCAGCCTTCACTTCAGCTTCACTGGGCAGGACTTCACCCTCAATTCCAATCTCATCAGGCAAAACTCCAGACTCAGTTCCAGCCTCGGTTCTGGTCTCACCAGGTAATGCTCCTGTGTCACTTGGAGCTGGAGTAGGCTTCTTCTTCACCTGCCACTGCAGTACTGCATGGATCATTGGAATGGCAAAGGCAAGAGTTTTTCCACTTCCTTAGAAGTAAAACAAAAAACAAACAGTGTGAATCAATAAATACACATACTTTTTGTCTGGGCTTCTTTCTTTTACACAGAATAAGGGACCCTGATAGCCACGTGCTACCCTGAACAACCCACAGCTCCTCCACTCAGCACAGGTTGCCCAACAAACAGCAAGCACTGCAACCAGAGGGTATCTGTAATTAAAAGCCTGAGAAAAAGTCTAGCAGACTAGCACTGAGGCCTGAGGTCACCAATGTGAACTACACACAAAGTCCAAGCACTGAAACTCTAAACAGACAAGTTTTGTGTGTTTTGTTGTTGTTGTAAAGAAACACCATCACATTAGGGTATGGGGAATGGAAATCTATATACAGTTTCCTAAGACCTTTGCTGGAGAAGATGGCAGTAGAAGACAATTTTCTTAGTTTTTCTGAAAACTTAAAATTAGCATACTTTTATCTATGCTTGAACATTTTCAAACTGATCTTTGAATGTATATGAAGCCCAAATTCATATCTTCTGGGTGGTTAATACAAACAAACAAGACAGCTCAAGTTGAGAATTTAAAGTAGTTCCAAAGTTATAATGCCCCCAGCAAAAGCAAATAAATTATCTTTGGAGGAAGAAACCTTTATCATAGGCCTCAAAGAATTCTCACAAGGGGCACCTGGGTAGCTCAGTCGATTGAGCATCCGACTCTTGGTTTCAGCCTGGATCATGGGTTTGAGCCCCAAGTCAGGCTCTGCGCTCAGAACAGGGTCAGCTTAAGGGGTTCTCCCTCTCCCTCTGCTTCTCCACCAACTTGATCTCTCGCTCGCTCTCAAATAAATAAAATCTTAAAAAAAAAAAAAACTATTTAAAAAATGCTCACAAATCATTTTCAAAGGAAAATGAGCAGCTCTCAGTAAAAAAAATAACCCATAAGAAAACAAGGCACTATAAGCAAGAATTGTAAGAAAAAAAGAGAGCAAACAGACCCTTAACACTAGATAAACAGCACTTTTCATCAGAAACCATCAAAGCTGGAAGACAGTATTACATCTTTATTTGAAGACCTGAAAAAAAATCCAACAACCTAGAACTCTCTTAGCAAAAATTCCTTTCAAAAAAATGCAAAGTAAAGACATTTAGGCACACAAAAGCTGAATAATTTATCATCAGCAAACCTGAACTACAAGAAGTACTAAAGGGAGTCTTCCATGCAGAAGATGCTACTGGTTGAAATTCTGGATCTATACAAAGGAAGAGTACCAGAAACAGTAATGGTAACATAGATGTATATGAAAGATTTTTCTTATTTAAATATATTATTTAAGTTTAAACTTAAAATTATTAAACATAAAAATGTATTTTGGATTTCTAACACATATAAAGTGTAAAACAAAAAGCACAATGTAAAGGAGAAAAGGAAATATAGTCTTGCAAGATTCTTGTACTATATAAAAAATTGTATATTATTACTTAAAGACAGACTATGACATACTAAAGATATATACTATGAACCCAAAAGCAACCACTAAAACAACAGTTACAGCTAATAAGATCAATAAAGGATATAAAATGCCATTACAAGAAATAATCAGTCCAAAAGAAGTTAAAAGCAAAGAGTATAGCAAATAGCAAAATAACAAATTACAACTTAACCATTATCAATATTCACATTAAATGTAAAAGATCTCAACAAATAAAAGACAGATTGTCACAATGATTAAACAGCAAGACCCAACACATGCTCTCTACAAGAATGCCATTTTATTTTTTTTTCTTAGAAGTTTCAGTTTAATACAAAGCATATGATAAAGGATACAGATGAAAAACCAGATGAAGAAGTACGTAAGGCAAAGTCTGGAAGGGTTCCAAGGGCTTCTATCCCTGTGGAACTGGGGGTGCACCACCCTCCCAGAACAAGGAAGGGTTCACCAACTTAGAAGCTCCAAGAAACCCACTTTAAATACAATGACGTCAATAGATTAAAAGTACGAGGGGCACCTGGCTAGCTCAGTTGATAAGAGCATGTGACTCTTGATCTTGGGGTTGTAAATTTAAGCCCCACATTGGGTGTAGAGATTACTTAAAAAAAAAATCTTTAAAAAAATACAAGTATGCAAAATACACCATGCTAACATTAATCAAAATAAAACTAGAAAGGTACATTAATATCAGATTGAGAAGATTTTAGAAAAAACAATACTTTGAGGATAAAGAGGGCCATTTCATTATGAAAGGAATAAATTCATTTAGAGGATATAACATTCCTAAACATTTACACACCTAAATATAACAGAGCTTCAAAACACAGGGAACAAAAACTAATGGAACTGCAAAAAAAACCTACCACTTAAGAAAAAATAAGTAACACAAATATTTCTAATACATTAAAGCAATTAAACCTGTAGTTAAAATCCATCCTACAAAGTAAAGTGCAGGCACAGATGAAGTCTACCAAATATTTAAGGAAGAAAAAAAATACCAATTCTATATAAACTCTTTCAGAAAACTGAGGAGAATACTTCAAAAGTCATTCCAAGGCCTGCATTACTCTGATTCCAAAACCAAAGATATTACTAGAAAACTATAACCCAATATCCCATGAACAGAAATTCAAAAATTATCAACAGAATTTTAGCAAATCAAATCCAATATATAAATGGAATAACACTGTGACCAAATTTGGCTTACCCCAGGAACGTAAGTTTGGTTTAGCATTTGAAAATCAAGTGTAATTCACCATTATCAACAGACTCAAAATGAAAAACCACTTATCTTAATAAATGCAGAAAGAGCATTTCTTTCTCTTTTTAAAAGATTTTATTTATTTACTTGACAGAGAAAGACACAGCGAGAGAGGGAACACAAGCAGGGGGAGCAGGAGAGGGAGAAGCAGGCTTCCTGCAGAGCAGGGAGCCCGATGCGGGGCTTGATCCCAGGACCCTGGGATCATGACCTGAGCTGAAGGAAGACGCTCAACGACTGAGCCACCCAGGTGCCCCTGAAATATTTAAGGACAAATCTAATTACAGATGTGCACACACTAAAAAACTACAAAACACTGCTAAAAAAATTAAAGACCTAAAAAAAATGGAGATATACTACATTCATGGGAAGATTCTATATTGTCCAGATGTCATTTGTCCTCAGTTTGCTTTATAATCAATGCAATCTCAATCCAAATACCAGCTGGCTTTTTGTAGAAACTGACAAGTTGAGTTTAAAATTTAAATGGAAATGCAAAGGGCCTAGAATAGCCAAAATAACTTTTAAAAAGAACAAAGAGGACTTAATACTACCTGATTTAAAACTTGTTCTAAAGCTGCTGTATCCAAGACAGTGAAGTTTTTTTTTATTTTATTGTATTTTATTTATTAATTTAACAGAGAGAGACACAGTGAGAGAGGGAACACAAGCAGGGGGAGTGGGAGAGGGAGAAGCAGGCTTCCCGCCAAGCAGGGAGCCCGATGTGGGGCTCGATCCCAGAACCCTGGGATCACGACCCGAGCCGAAGGCAGCCGCCCAACTGACTGAGCCACCCAGGCGCCCCGATAGTGAAGTTTTGATGCAAAAAGATAGACAAGTAGATCAATGGGGTGGGGGTGGGGGGAGACTCCAGAAATAGACCCACACCTATACAGTCACTGATTTTCAAAAAAGATGCAAAGGCAAAATTCAGTGGAGGAAGGATAGTTTTTCAACAAACGGTGCTGGATATCCACATGCAGGGGAAAAAAAGGAACTCTGATCCACACTTCTCACTGTAAACAAAAATTAACCCAATAAAGATCACAGACTGAAACATACAACCTAAAACTAGTAACACTTCTAGAAGAAAACACTGGAGAAAATCTTTGTGATCTTGGGTTAGGCAAAGGATTTGTAGATAAGCACATTTGTAAAAAGGAAAGTGATCATTTGATCTTCATCAAAATAAAGAACTTCCGATCTTTCGAAAGACACTGTAAAGAGAATGAAAAGACAAGCCACAGACTGGGAGAAAAAAATCATAAACCAAGTATCTGATAAAGGGGGTATATCCAGAATATATAATGAATTCAGTAGTAGGAAAACAACTACCCAATTAAAAAATGGGCAAGAGAATTGAAAAGACACCACCAAAGAATATACAAATAGGCACTTGAAAAGATGCTCAACGTGTCACTAGGGGGATATCAATTAAAGACACAAGGAAACCATGCTAAAATTATTAAAGTCTAAAATGAAATTAAAGACTGAACACACCAAGTATTGGCAGGGACAGAGACCAATTTAAACTCTAACTGGGTGGGTATGTAAAATGGTATAATCACTTTGGAAAACTGAAAGGTTACTTTTACCTTAAGACCTAGCTATTCCACACGTATTTACCCAACAGAAATTAAAGCGCATACCCATACAAAGACTAACACACCAATATTTA